CCCCCCCCCCCCCCCCAGATCCATACATACATGTGCTTGTGTTTCAAGATCTTTTTTCGTGATAGGGTACGCTGAACAAAACTGTAAATAGCAGTGTTTTTGACGCGTTCTCAGATTACATATCAACAAGGGTTGATGAAGTCCAGCATTTTGAGCTACGAGAATATGAAACCAGGACAACTTGCCAGAACAAGGACTCCAAACCCTGAACCCTGAACCCTGAACCCTAAGCCTTTGGGTTAGTAAGCTATCTGTGCAAGAAGAAGAGCAACCCCCGGTTCAACCTGAATCAGCAGATCATTCACCTCAGAGCGCTTAGAAATATACATTGGTTTGCAAATATTTCAATGGACGTGAGAGGCTGTGCTTGTCATCACTCGGACCCATATCCTTGCAAGATCATGATGAGTTTGTCTACGTACCTTCCCAGAGGAAGTGGTTTCAAATAGATTTAATCGGGCTTCCCAAAATATCGATGCGCTCGCTATGCTCCATTTGTCGAACCTGCTTACATGCCGGTCATACCCCGATATTTTAGAACAAGCTGCGCTACTCATCGGGTTGGTCCTTATGTTAGTTTCTTCTATGAAGTGGCTCGCGGTTCAGGCAAACTAAATCCCACGCCTCATCGCCCTTGTGCCCTGTATCAATCATGCGCTGGCAGCTGAGGCATGTATGCACTTTGTAAGTCGAGCTTCAAAGTGCTCCCGCTTTGTCATGCCACTCCGGCTTCAAGCTTGGGGTCAGTGACTGTTTGGTACTTCTTGCGGAAAGGGTTGGAGTCTCTAGTCATTCTTTTCCATTCCTGTAGTTGCAGCCCCAGAAACCTGAACGTTTTTCAAGCGGTTCTGAAGTTGCTGTAAAAATTACTCGCAGGTCCTCAGATGCCGAGGTTCAGGGCCTCTTGGATTCTCAGCACAATCTTCCAAAGGATTCCTGCGAAGGGAACCCTGTATCAGCGGGGCGTTGAGCCTTAGAAGATGGAGGTTGCGACGTCTGTTCTCCAGGCCCATCAACCCACAGTTTAGCTTTCAGTATCTTTCAGTTCAGGGGAAACGAATTGGCAACGGCGTCACCAAAGCCGAGGACGATATCAATATGTACACTCGCATGGTCCAAAGCTCTGGCTAAAGACGCATGCAAAACGCGTAGCGTGCCTGTCTGCATGCTTGCGGGCTCATGGGTAGTTTGAACTGGGGCGCGATTAACATAATTTGTGGTGCCTACAGG